TATCAAGCTTCAACAAATACATTCAGTTTTCACTGTCTGAGCAAATCAATTTTAGTTTCTTCATAGTCCTCCATCTGTCTTTTAACATGACACTTGTTCGGTTGTTGAATTTATAATGTGATAGTATTTTAGACCAGTTTCCCTCTCCATACTTCCTCACACCAGATCTCAAATTCTTGTCTTCTTCCCAAAGCCATGCCTTTTAAAAAAAGTAGAAGAGTTATTTCTAAATGATTCTGTAAGAACAGCATACTGTTTAAAAAAGAACAACTGTTTTTTGTTAAAATAATACTTACAGTCTCTTAAAGATGGAAGAATTTCTCTATATATTTCTTACAAAACTTATCTTCATCATTAAACATTTTAAGGGTAATTATTATTGTTGCTCATTCTATATAAGCTCTAGGACAGCTAGAAAGCAACAGAGCTACTTGGTTTCTAGCCAAACCAATCTGTCCAACTTAAGGTACATTATTTCTTATGATGTTTTTATATATTATTCCACAGCTCTAAACAGAGTTTATAAATGTTTAGTAATTCATTAACAAACTCAGTAAAAATCCTATTCTTCCAACATTGAGGGAAGTATATGTGTGTGTATGTGTGTGTATATAATAAATTTTCAAAGATACAATTTAGGGCTGGGGTTGTGGTTCAGTGGTAGAGCACTTGCCTAGCACGTGTGAGGCCCTGGGTTCGATTCTCAGCACTGTATATAAATAAGCAAAATAAAGGTCTATTGAAGAAAAAAAAAATTAAAAAAAAATACAGTTTACCTGGGCACAATGGCACATAGCTATAATCCAAGCAATATGGAGGCTGGGGTAGAAGGATCCCAAATTGGGGGGCCAGCTTCAGAAAATGAAGGAGGCCCACAGCAATTTAGTAAGACCCTGTCTCAAAAAATAAAAAGGGCTGGGGATGTTGTTCAGTAGTAAAGTGCTCTTGGGTTCAACAACTGCCATAAACCCAAGACAAAACAAAATTTAAAACATTTAGGGCATTTTGGAAGAAAATGATAACATTTTAAAAACAAAACTGAATACCATACATACAAAAATCACTGACATTTGGCATTTGCTACAGGTGACTAATTAATTACTCCTTGTGGTGGCAAGGAGAGTTTGATCATCTGTTATTATTTAATTTTACCAGACTATGTGGGAAATGTCCAAGAAGACTTCTGCATTTTTAGACTTACTTTTTGGGGGAAGGGGAGTGGCGTGGGGGTATGGGGCTAACTGGGGATTGAACCCAGGGGCGCTTAAACCCTGTGTTACATTTCCAGCCCTTTTATTATTTATTTTGAGACAGGGCCTAGTTGCTAAGGCTGACCCTGAATTTGTAATCCTCCTGCCTCAGCCTCCAGAGCCACTGGGATTACAGGTGTGTACACTACACCTGGTTAGACTTCCACATTTTTAAAGAAAATCTAGTTTATCATCTTGACTTACTTGGATGAGGAAAAAARAAGTGAACTCATGTGCATTATTGATTGGAATATAAAATGATGCAGCCACTGTAAAAAACAATATGGTAGTTCCTAAAAAAATTTACAAATAGATCTACCATATGATCCAATGAATGATTCTAATTCTAGGCATATACTCAAAAGAAACGAAAGGAAGGACTCAGAAGAGATATTCATGGATTCATGTTCATAGAAGCATTATTCATAACAAGTAAAATGTGGAAGCAACTTAAGTGCCTATCAATGGACAAATGGATAAAAGATGTGGTGTATAGATATAATAGAATATTACTCATTCTTAAAAAGGAAGGAAATTCTAATGTATGCTACAACATGAATGAACATGGAACAACATACCAAGTGAAGTAATTTAGACACAAAAGGCTGAGTATTACATGATTCCACTGATATGAGGTGCCTAGAACAGTCAAATTCAAATATAGTTGAATGATAGTCGCTGGCAGAGGATTAATGGAGAGTTACTATTTAATGAGTAGTACAGTTTTAGTACACTTTGAAAGTCACAGCCTAGGACATAGGCTCACTAAAGAATGAGACCTATACACAGAACTTTTGAATGCTTCTCCCTGTCTCACAACATTTAATCAGGAGCCTATATAACACAGGATTTCAACTAAAAGAGGTGCCTTAGATCTCTATTAAGGAGCCTCAAGAGAAATCCAAAAATAAGGACACTGGAGGAAAATTTAGCCTCCACACCAATAGCTACAGCAAACTTAGTAAAGCACAGCYTAGCTCCAAGCCAGACAAACATAAAACCTCATAATAAGCTAGGCGTGGTGGCACACACCTGTAATCCCAGCATCTCAGGAGGCCAAGACAGGAGGAGGATCAGGAGTTCAAAGCCAACTTCAGCAAAAACAAGGTGCTAAGTAAATCAGTAAGACCCTGTCCCTAAATAAAATACAAAATAGAACTGGGAATGTGGCTCAGTGGTGTGGAGTGCCCCTGAGCTCAATCCCCAGTACCAAAAAAATAAAAAAAAACCAAAACCTCACACCAAAGGCAACATGCAATAAATATCCAGCTATCAACAAAAATTGCAAGCATGTTAAAAGGCAAAACAGTTTCTGAAGAGATGAAGCAAGCATCAGAACACTCTCAAGCAGATAATCACAGAAATTGTCAGGCTTGGAATTTATAATGATTATGATTAATACATCAAGGCCTCTGAGAGAAAACCAGACCACATGGAAGTACAGAGGGGCAAATGTAAGCAGWGATAGGACACCTATGAAAGAATCAAAGGAAAATGCTAAAACCAACAACACAGTAACAAAATGAATTGTCTTTTGTGAATTCTTTAATAGACTAGACAGAGCTGAGGAATCAGTGAAGAGAAACTTCTCAAATCAAAAAGCAAAGAGGGAAAAAAAGAAAGAATAAAAAAACGGGAAAAATTTTCCAAGAACTTCAGAAAAATCACAAAAGATGTAACATATTTATAACGRGAACATCAGAAAAAAAGAGGAATAGGAGATTTGATGTAAAAGTGGCTGAGATTTCTCAAAAACTAATGACAAAGAACAAAATACAGACTGAGGAATCTTAGAGAACACCAAGCAGGGTGAAGGACAAAATATCGATATCTATATACATCAATTTCAAAATATCAAAATATCAATATTTATATACATTAATTTTTTTCTTACTGCAAAAAGAAAATCAAGCATTAAATTACTTATGACTTGTGGTCATATACAGTGGTATAAAGTCCGTATTTCTCCCTTTGAAAATTCACCCAAAGTAACAAGGAAATAAACAAAATCCCAAATTCTGAAGAACAGAATCTAAAACAAAGTGTGTATGTGTGGGGGGGGGGGGGGATTTTTTTTTTTTTACAACAAACCTTAACAGGGATATGAGGAAGTAGGGCACAGTTACTTTGCCTTCAGATCTCAGAAGGTCTGTGGTGTATAATTTCCCAAAGTAAGGAACACACCATGAAGTGCACACCCTATATCCCTGGTGTGCAAACAGCAGAAGCTTCCCTCAACCAAATATCACTCCAAATGGTAAAGAGAGCAGGTTAAAAAAAAAAAAAAAAGGAATCAAAGAGAAGTAGTATGAGTAGCAAACAAGCTGAAATAAAGTAAAAAGTTCCAGAAACAATAGAGTAACAAGCACCAGATTTATTTACCTGCTGTAAAAAAAACAATAGAAAAATTAGATAAAATAAATAAAAAATAGTCTGATATTGGACAGATGGTACAGGACTATACCAAGTGAGGAAACAAATAAGTTAAACCCTAAAATTGACTTGCCTTAATAAAATTTTCTGATCAAACAATATAATTCTTTGTTTTTACACATAGAAAAATCTTACACTGAATCTGTTGGAAGAATGAAATATAAAAGCTTTTAATGTGGATATAAGTCT